GGGCTCCCGCCGTGGCTCGCCCCGGAGGACTTCCCCGGGCCGCACAGCTCCCCCCGGACCTGCGGTTAACTTTCGTCTCCGTCCTGCCCGCCCCTACTGCGAAACTTCTGTAGGGGATGCAGCGGCTGAAATGTCTCCCTCGCTCGCTTGCTTGTACACACGTCTGTACACACGTACACACGCGCGCGTACGCGGGCAGAGCTGTTAAGGTTAGTTTCATGGTCCAGCTGGGATAGTCTTTAAACTGTAAAACCGCTCTACTCTGCTTGAAATTTCACTCTGATCAATGGCTTTTCTTTTTTTTTTTCTTTTTTTTTTCTTTTTTTTTTTTTTGAAGTTCTCAGCGGGACACGACGACTTATACAACTTTCCTCGCATAGAAAAGCTGTGATTTTGAAATGTATCGCAAAGGCTCTTTCACGACTATCGCTCAAGACTTAAATCATCTCTTCTCTAACCTTAAACGCCACTGAAATGGCAAACAACCAGGCAGACGCTCCAGGGGAAACCAGCCCCAAGGTCTCAAATCACAGCGTCGCGCCCACACGGGATCGGCTCGGGTGGACCAGAGGCGGGCGGCCGAAACTTAACAACTAGTTGACAGATTTTTAACTGATCAAGCATCGTATTAGCCATGCTTTCCACTACTATGCAAACAAAAAAGATACATTACGAGGAAGCCACGCAAGCTGCGCTGAGCCTTAGGCAAGCGCATTTGCCAGTCATTTTTCTCTCGATTGTTATTATAATTATCATCATCATCGTGCCGTTACTACGGCTACAATGAGCTGCAGCGACAGAAAAAACACACAGAAATTCATCCCTCCGGATGCAAAATAAAGAGGGGCTTCGGTGCCTGACTCCGGTAGCACGACCCTGCTCTCCCCCAGCACCCCCCCCGAGTCAATCCTACGCATATCGCATTCAGGCTTAAACGCTTAATGAAAAAAGTGTCGGGAAATCTTACCAAATCTTAATACATGTGTGGTTCCTTGAGAATATCCAATCCACAGTAAGCAAAGAAGGAGTCTAATGGTGCATCTGAAGACTGGATTAGTTAGAATAGGGGAAATAATCTTCATGATGTTTCTATGCACACACGCGCTGCCTTACTTCCCCCTTCTAAGCCGTCAGGTTTCCCGGTAGGGTGAGAATGAGGATACGTAAACTGATGGCCCTCAGACACGATCACGGCATGGTCACAGAGAGAGGAGAGTCTACGCTTCCCAAACCCATTAGCAATCCCTGCATGTTCTTCATTCACTGCGCCAAGGAGCAACCTTCAACTGCAAGGAATGGTGGGACATCCATGTTAGTCGGGGGAGAATCCTTGAGAAATCCAAACACACACAATGTCCAGCCGAGTAAACCTGGGAGGCAAGAAAGGAGGAAAATCAATAGGTAATCCAGCTCGAGAAATCGCTGAGGTATCGCCACATAGCGAGAGTCAATGAGCACCAGCCGTTTTACTGGCGAAGCTTTTGCCGTGCTCCCGTTCTACTGCACTGCTGCACAGCTTCTGACGCGAAGCCAAGATTAAGTGAGAGAAATTGAGATAGCTCTTCTCTTCTTAAGGCTGCCTGCCAGACAGCCTTCCCAATTTCTATTATGCAAGCGATCTGATCGCCTAGCGTTGTCGGAGGAAAAAAACAGCTCGGTTTTATTTACATGCTTCTAATTGTTATTAGTATTTCAGTTGTTCTGAACAATAGCTAAAGGAGGAAACTAGAGGAATTGAAGATGACAAAGTATTTGAGACAAAAGGATACATGGAAATACATGGTGGAAATCAATTCATGCATTTTAATAGCTGACTGCCTGGGTCGAAATCACTTAGCTTTAGAGTTGTGAAAGACAAGGTTGACAATAAAGTCATGCAGGTTATCAGAGTGACGTTTAGGCTAAAAAAAAAAAAAAAAAGATCATGACATTTACATTCACTAACTGTTACTCACGTTAATGCATGAAATAGGGTAAATGCGATGGCTTGTATACTGACTGTCCTTAGGAACTTGCTCCGGACCCAGTGACCACGGAGCGCCAGCCTGCTTTTGCAAGGTAAACAGGAATCGGCAGCGCTAGGACAGCCTTGTTGAATGCACAGACCTGCTTCCCTCAACTTCTTGAAATCGCAATGTTGCTTAAAAGACAGTAACTTGGGGATTTACTAGTTTATGTTTTGCACTTTATTCTGCCACTCTCTTATTTTGCACTCTGGTTTCCTTTCACTCTAGTATTATGGAAATATCGCTGTTCCTCCCTGTACTGAGAGATCTACGTAGTTTGTCATTTTGCAGTCCTCAGTGAGAACAATAGCACTTCCCAGTTTGATAATGGGATACTGAGTTTGTATCTGCAAATGCAGCCGCAGACTTTTGTCTTTTGGCCAGGTGTTTCAAAGAAGATAAACTCATTCTGTGGACTACTTCAGAATTTCTACTAGTTGTGTGCCTGTATCCATTAAAGTACATTGAACCGGGACTGTCAGACTGTGCAATCTAAGTGAAGCTTTTGCTGAACCTACTTAAGCTTTATTACAAATATTAAAAGATAATTCCTAGATTCCCCACCAGGAAAATGAATTCATTTTATTCTACATTCTGCCTACAGACATCTTTTGTCTCCTTTATCTCCCTCCCTGCCTTTTATTACTAAAGAAAATATCACTGAGAGACTTCCCCCACAGATACATACAGATGAACACAGAATAAACCTGACTTTACAGAAATAAATACCGATGATGCCAAGCTAATGAGAACACTCTGTGGAATCTATCGGCAGTAGAGCATGGCAGAGGTGAGTTACACTTTATTCTTAAATAACATCTGTGTATTGTAGACATGTAAATTAGCAATAGCAGCATTTAAATTATAACCTGTAATGTTGGTGCTCTGTATCCCTAAGAGTGTTAGCAATTCACAGTAACTTTTTATCATTATGGCTTACTGATTTCCTCTGCACGCATTTACTTAAAACACTGTAAAACGCTGATGAAAAGAAACGTACATTCTGCGAGGGGATTATTAAACATCATTGATTTTTTTTTCTTTAAGATGGAGGCATAACTGCAGTGTCAAAAATAAGTATCATGAATGGCTAGTTCTGCAGTCTAGCAGGGAATTCAATCAGACCATTTGACTATTGGAGCACTTTAAAAAGAACACCTAGTGTTAAAAGCAAGGATATCTAGCGACTCCTTCAGTTCACAGTTAGAATATCTCCCAGTAAAAATGCAGAGAGATGCTTTTTCTTGTATTTTCTATTTCGCTTATTCTCTTCTACTCGTTCATATTCTATCTTAATCCAAGGAGAAATAAAACGGGCCCACGTGAATCTTGTGAACGTTCTTTGCCTCCCTCCTCTTTCCCCTGGTGCTGCTGAAATAAAGGGCATTAGGCATCTTTAGATACTGTTTAAATTGTGAATGCTCAGAGGTAGTTTCCTGTCTAAACGGATTTTTTTTTAATTTAATTTAGTTTTGGTAAGCAGTTTTGCAAATATAATATTCACGGTCAGCTTTAGCACATTAGACAAGACATAAACTTTGGGCGAAGTGACCCCTGTTTAACACTCTGATTTTCTAAGGTCTCCTGAAAAAAAAAAATACAGCTACCTGTAATCTAAGCCCAACGGAGCTCCTAACTCACCGAGGCGTGCATAAGTGGAATCATAAAACAACTTGCGATTAATTCCTTGCGCTGTTAAATACTCGGCAGCCCGCTCCGCAGCCCCTGGTCGCACGCCTGAGACTCAAGCCAAGTTTCGCTTCCCCC